CCAGTCCGCCATGAGAGAGAGAACCATATCTGCCTACGACTCATGACGTCCTCTACTAGTCCCTTTGTCCTCCAGTCCGCCATGAGAGAGAGAAAGATAACTGCCTACGACTCATGACGTCCTCTACTAGTCCCTTGTCCTCCAATCCGCCATGAGAGAGAAACATGTCTGCCTACGACTCTTACGTCCACCATCCTACCACTCCCTTTGACCTCCAGGATGCCGTGAGAGAGAGAGAAATATGAACTGGCTATGACTCATGACGTCGACCTACCAGACACTATGACCCGGAATTCAGATCTTCGAGTTGGGGGTCCAAATCTTCCCCTAGGTCCTCCTCCTCCTCCACCACCACCTCCCATAGGACCAAATTTAGCACCAGAGGATCGAGGATACTCCACACGCAGCTTGGAGTCTCCATATCCATATCCATTCCTTCCATAGACGGCATCGTCTGCATCCCTAAGAGAAGAGAGCAAAGAACCCCTTACCAAAGTACGCTTGTTTCACTAGCGGACATAGAGCTGGAAATGCCGTCTCCATCCATTTCCTGCTGCCAGTCACTGGAGACGATATTATACCATAAAACTTAAGGTATCCAACATGGGGAATGAGATTCGACTTGCCAAAGACCATCCCTAAAACTCACCGTGGGTCTTCAAATCGGACGAAGGCAAAAGGGATAGTGCCTCTATTATTCTTCAATTCAATGTCACGGATTTTTCCATATTTGTAGAAGAGATCCTCAATGTCTCTCTCTTGGACATCCACAGGAAGATTACCCACATAGATCCGGCCGTCCGACATGGTGATTGAGTGAGTTGCACTGCTGACACAGAATGGGGGCACCTGCGGACGTTAGTCTGTTTGCACTACTACAGGCTGTTAATTGAACAGTGAGCTCCGAGTCCTTCTTCTCCCTTAAGATCACTTCTTGCTTTCACAAATAGCTGTGGAAGTGGTCCTTATCCTAATCCTAGTTCCAATCCGAAACTTAGTCCATCCGCTTCCAATTCCTTAATTTAGACAAAAATAAAAATCTAGACCAGGGATGTGGCCATGACAGTAGCAAATGATGAGTTCAAGACAAATGGTACAGGCCCTCGGATCCAAGCCTGAAAGCTTTAAAACACAGGGTCATGAATGTCCAACAACCTTAATGAACGGTTACAGGATTATACAGCTAGAAAGTATGCACCGTGTGGAGAAAATCTACTGGCAAAATAACTCTTGAGTAACAAACTTACACCTGCTTAAATAAACACTACTTCCTCCGGTCTGTGTGTGTGTGTGTACCTCAATATGTATGGATGAGTGATGAATTAAAGGAAAAATAACATATTTTCTGATGGTTCTCATAACTCCCATAGGTTGGCAGTTAAGACTTAATGATTGTAAAGACCTAGAAAATGATTCACGTTGTTTACATACTCATTAACCCTGTGTGATCTGCATTTGTTATGGTACTCTACTGTTATTTAGCATTGCAGTGTTGTAGTGTCAGTGCCATTACCTGAATGTGTTGCATTTTTGTTTTAATATCTTTTACACGTCATTTACAAAATGTACAATGCAATGCAACACCAAACCATAGCTTTACATATTGTCATAGTTCAGCACACATCTGATAACGTCCTCGACAACGTATAATATTAATTACAACAAATTATTTATATATATAAAACTCAGACGGATTTATGGAATTCCAATATAATTTGCAGGTGTTTTTATTTTTCAGGGCAATATAAGATCAACATGGCGGACAGCGGGCTAATTATTAATAATAACGTAAATGATGGTGAACGCCTAATGGCATGTCAGATATTCAAAAATATTTCCCTTGTATAAGTATAAATTGTATATCATCAAAGATGTAATAGTCTACGGTACGTTACAACGTTAAAATAATATTGGTCTGGACTTATTTACGTTTCCGGTGCCTTGAAACTCGCGTAACGTAACAACAGTTGGTGAACCGATCAAACCTGTTATCATTAGCTGCCTGCCAGCTAAACACCGCGGTTGATAGGCTGAATATTGGATTTAACAATAACGTTAGCTTATATATAGGGAGCGTCTGGTCAACACAAGAAAATAACAGTAGTTATAAGGCAGTTAACGAGGGTGGCTGCCAGGCTTTAACCTGTTTGCCCTGGTCTAAACCTGTGTTGCACGATGGCTAAACTAGCCCGCAGCTGCTAGCTAACTTTAGCTAGCGTCAGTTATAACGATTAGATTGCTTACAGAGTACAAGCACTATATTCAATGTAACGTTACATCCTTAGTGAGCGACCATGCAACAGAAATCATTTTAACTGAACTCTTTATTTTGACACTTGTAGCTTGACAGTTGACGCCAACTTAAGACGTGCTATAGTCCAGTAATTACGATACCATAATCAGTCTCTTTGTTGATAAAGTAAGGTCAGCTAGCCGAGCTAACGAGCGTCTGCTCGGCTAAAATGCTACGATATTTGTCACACTGGAATACAAATTTTGGACAATACACATTAAATACGTGAAGTAAACAACACTTAAAATGCCAAAGGTGCGTTTACCTTTCAAAAAAAGCAAGGGCACCTTCTTTAGTCGATTTAATGCTAGCAGTTGGCACGCTGTGCTGCTTCCGTGTTAGTTAGCAACATTAGCTAGCGGCTCTGTCTCTTCTTCGACTCCGCATTTCCGGCAGACTGTAGTAAGGGTTACTGCAATGCTGCCACCCGCCGGAAAGAAGGGGAACATGTTACTGGCTTAGGCATATTTCACCCCTATAATAAAACAGTCAAGTAGGCTAGGTTTAATACTTATTTGTATCCAAAACAGTTGTAAATTGTAAGAAAACAAACCAAAAATACACTAGAAAATATTTAGCATGTTGTAAGCTACCCTGCTCCCTTTCCTGAGCCACCAGAGCAGCTAAAGCATACTAATCACACACCACAATGCCCACAGCAACTCAATCTGGTAAAAAAAAAAAAAAAACCTAAACATAACACTGAAGTCACATTTGCCTCTGTGGTGTATCGCTAGTGGCACTGTCCCTGTCTACCAATGTAGCCCCAGGACTCCAATCAGTCATCAGATGCTCCGTCTCCACTTGAATCACATGATGCCCCGTGTTGTTTTTTAATTGTTACTTGCACATTCTCACATTTTCTTTCCCAAGGCCCTTTAGTTTTCACTTCGCCTCTGTGTTGGCTCCATCCTGTTGTGGTTGGTTCTCTCAAAGTTTCACGGATGAGGTCTCTGGGTGGGCTGTTATACAACCAATTACATAATACTTTCTTCAAGCCACTGCCATTCTGTGACAATTAGATGTGCTCTAATAAGAAAACACATGGGAACTGGCTAATTTCATCAAGAAACACAATATTAATAAAGGCAATAACTCGTAAAAACTAGATTGTTCTGTAATCATTACACTGATATTTTTTCATAAACAAGCACAGCAAAACATGAAAAATTATTGAATTATTACTTGCAAAAGTTCAGTCAGGGAGACAATACTTTTCATGCTTAGGGTGTAATTTTTCTTTCTCACCCTGCCATTCACTCCTTGTACCTTCTCCATAGCCTATCATCTTAGATAGATAGATAGATAGATAGATAGATAGATAGATAGATAGATAGATAGATACTGGAACTACAGTTGAGGAGATAACCATGGAGGAAGTGTAACCTATGATCAGCATTGTCACTCTCACTTTTACTCACATGGGCCCACCTCTGTAGTGACATAGTGAAAATACAACATTTGCCATTTTTGCTGAGGACCCCCAGAGAACCACTCATGTAGAATATTGTTATTTGATGGTATGGTGCAGCCATAAAAACTTGTGAGTCTTGTGGGTCTGAATATTTCAATTAGTATAAACATTATACAGCTTTAAGTGCTAGAACAAGCTACAGTTCTTCTTTCCTTGATTGCTTACTGTCAGGCAGTCAGTGTGGAATAAGTAGACCAACCAACCCTGCTATTTATGGGGAAATATGTATGTATGTATTTTATATTAAACTGAAATTAAATTTGTGAAGACAGCTAATGGAAGAAAAGGAGCATGAAGTCAGAAATTAAACTGAAATCTTGCTGTGGTTTGTAAGGGGCTTTGAGGCGTCAACTGTATTATGGCCTTGTATTAAAGCCACTAGACCAGGGGTGTCAAACATATGGACCAAGGCCCACCAAAGGAGCTAATCCGGCCCTCTAGATGACTTTGCACACCTAATGTTGATGCATTTGTGAAGGCTGGGAGCTTTCAGGAGCAATTTAAACAGTGGATAGATACTTCATGTAAAGTGCTGCCTCAGAGGCTTTTCAAACTGACCAGAATACAGCTCTCTGAAATAACAATGAACTTACTGTGGTCATATTTAAATATATTGAATATCATGCAGAATATTGTCAGCGAGCAGCTTCAGTATAAAAGAATCTGTATCAGACTTCTATTTTAAAACAATATTAGTGGAATCTTGCTGCCTTGGCACTGTCAAAACTTCAGACTGTAAATGGTTTGTAAGGCAGAGGATGACTTAACCTGCATCTTCAATAGCGTCCTCTTTAGTGGAAAATTATGAAAAAAACGCACATGAATTGAAAGTGAGTAGTAGAATGACTAAATGTGGAAAAACTGAGACATACTGCTGAATTTGAGCACATTTTTCTGAGGATATTGCGGGCTGTTCATCATTTGTTTTTATAAATGGATGAACGTTTTCAGATTGTACTTCTTCACACAAAAAGGGAAATATTTGAAGGGGTTGTTATTTACAGTTTATTATGCAGTAGTTTTACCGCTTGAGATCGAATTGGGCTGTATGTGGCCCCTGAACTAAAATCAGTCGGGCACCCCTGCACTGGACACATGTTTAGGCGCCTGATGCAAAGCACCGTGATGTAACACGTGAGGCCCCGCCTCCGAGCGCGGAATGACTTTAAATGCGACCACCCACTACATCACAGCAAGGAAACGACTTGGTGCGCTCAGAAAGCAAAGGGCACCATGTCCTACACTAAATTCGTAGCAGCTCTTGTGAGAGCGAATCAAGGCAATGTCGGCAAAATACGCATATCACCTGGAAGATGTCGGTCCACAGTGGCATCCACCAAGAGCCAGGAAGAGAAAGATCAGCAGATAGATGGGTGCACCGTGGTGGAGGCTGTGCCCGTTGAGCTCATCAGCGAGACCAAAAATGTGAAAAACACGCAGTTAAGTAAAATCCACATTGATTTCGACAACACGGAGGAAGCCTACAAGAGCAAGCGCAACATTGAGCTGCTGCGGAGCCTGCTGGTGTTCAAGCTTTGTACCATTGACGTCCTCGTTGAGAAAAACAAACAGGTGAGCTGCTGATGTTGTTCAGAAGTTAACCTTTTGATTTAAGAACAAAAAAGTCTCCTTACCTTTAATTTTGATGAGATACTGTAAATGTATAACGTGCGCGTAATGTATGCGTAATAATTAAGGAAACAGGCAAGTAAGATGATGCATGCATGTACTGTAGGATGCACTACTGAGAGAACAACTTAACTTCTTGTCCTTGTTTTGGTTTCAGTTGATAGATCTGAGCAGGAAGTTGCTGGGTCAGTGGATGTTTGAGAAGATGATGAAGATGACCTTCTATGGTCAGTTTGTGGCCGGAGAGGACCACAACTCCATCAAACCTCTGATTCAGAAGAACGAGGCGTTTGGTGTGGGGGCAGTTTTAGACTACAGTGTTGAGGAGGACCTGACACAAGAGGAGGCAGAGAAGAAGGAAATGGAGTAAGTCATGTTTGCATCAGTAGGCTACTTTCTCATTAAGATTCAGGCTCACTGTGAAATGTTAAGATGCTTTAAACCAAGCACAGTTAATCAGTTCCAGCCCTAATGTATGCCGTATGTGCACTAGATGATTCACAAGTTATGCAACATACTTAACTTATAAGACCTATTGAGTCAGGTTTGTTTGTTTAGCCCAGAATCACCTGCCCCATGACGCAGCCAATAAGTTTGCAGGAAGGAGTTTGAACAGGCCATTTTAAGAGTGACCACCCGCCCCCACCTCGCTCCTCTGCACGCATGTTACAGTTGTAACAGGAGCTGCACACTGGGTAGACTGGACTGGGCACACTGGAATAAAAAAAAAATGTTAAAATGAATAGATATACGATAATAATACCTTTACGGTGGCATCATTATGATAAATCCACTTAAAGTTGTTTTATAGTAGAACAACTAGCATACTTACATTTAGTCATTGCCTTTACACCAAAGCATTCAAGATGTTTTTACACGTGATTTGGCACATTATCCTTGGCTCTGTGACTGTGCAGCACATACTACACTGTAGGCCTCACTAGCTAATTTAAGCCTTGGACGGGGTGGTGGGTTAAACCAAACATCATGCAGGGATATGCTTGTTAAGGGAAGTTTCACAGATCAAACATGTGGCACTGATACTTGAAATACAGGTTACAAGTCTGGTCGGCTCCCTTTAGTGTGATACTTTTCTCTCACAGGTGCCTGCAGTCTTAGTCGTCCATCTGTAAATTATCTTCTGACTCCTTTATTTACATTACAGCATTCCAATAAATTATAGCTCAATATAGTTCATTCTTATCTTATCACCTCAGGTGTGGCTTCCGTCATGTTCCTTATCAAATTAACATGAGTCACACATGGCACAGAATGTTTCATTCCAGTGAAGAGACTGTAAACAGACTGTATTTCATCTCCAGTGGGCAAATAGTGCTTCCCCCTTATTGGTTGGCTAGGACCAACACCTCTCTTTTGATTGGCTGTGCTGCTTGTTCAGAAGGGGGATGTACCACCTGCAAGGGCAGCCAGCCTTTTAGAGTAATGTGCTACATTAGTACTGTGCCAGAGCCTTTCATGGGGCACACACACGGAAGTGTTACGCAACGCACTGAGGAGGAAATGAGCTTTTTTTTTTTTTTTTAAAGCAAGGATTATCACGCTGAGCTCAAAACATACACACGCTGAAGTGAATGGAAACACATTTTTGTTTTTAAAAATCTTATCAATTCACAGAGAGAAAAGACTGTTAGGTCCATGATGAAGACAGCACAGTGAACACAGTGGTTTGATTGTACTCTGATACATCTCTCATGTCACAACACGTCCAGAAATGGAGGCCATTATCCTCTTGGCATGAAGAGGTTTCAGCAAGACTGGTTAGATGACATTTGCCTTTCTTCAACGTAGGCAAGGCAGCTTTATTTGTATAGCACATTTCATACACCAGAGCAATTCAAAGTGCTTTACAGAGCAATAAAACATAATAAAGGATACAGATTTACAACAAAATGATAAAGCGATAAAAAGATTATTTACAATGATTTCAAATTTAGTTTAAAAAATTTAAAAACAATCCAATAAAAATCTATAGAGTGGAAAATAAAAGATTAAAAATACAAGAATAACGTTGCAGTGTGGTTTAAATCAATAAAAGTATTTGAAAAGAAAATAGACAGTACAGTGCAAGAAATTAATACATATTTGATTTAATAAATGGCAGATAAGTCTTTAAACTTAATTTAAAAGAAGTGAGAGATAGTGGGAGTTTGTTGCAGATATGTGGAGCATAAAATCTAAATGCTGCTTCTCCATGTTTACTCCTGACTCTGGGGACACAAAGCAGACCTGTCCCAGAGGACCTGAGAGGTCTGGATGGTTCATATTGTAGCAGAAGGTCTGAAATGTATTTGGGCCCTAAACCATTCAGCGCTTTATAAACCAACAGTGGTATTTTGAAGTTGATTCTCTGGCAGACAGAACTGGATTGGTGTAATGTACTTTAGACATGGAAACTTTTCCCCCCATCTTTTTATCACCGTTCAAAATTGTGTTCCCTCCCACGCTCACTGTTTGCATACTGTCTGGTTAATTAAACGATGTAAGTGATATGCGACGTTATAACACTGAGAGAAAACAGAGCCACTAGAATCTTGTTTTTATTTGTTGTGTAGGAAAGTAAACTATTTTAGGCAACTATTTTATGTTCTGATGTCATCCTGTTCTTCTTTTTCAGCTCGTGTGTCTCTGAAGCAGAGAAAGAAAGCCCAGGTTTGTATATACGTTAGAAAATAACTGATCTATTGCATGTAACATAGTGTATCTGTTCAATATCCATATGTGTTACACAACCAGCCACTGCATGCTTCACTGACTGCACAGTCAGCTCGCAACTGGTTAGAGTGAACAACTGGTTTGCTTTGATATTCAACTGCTTCAGCTTGACCTTACTGCAACACAAGTCTAGTCAAGTGTCAGGTGTTGGTATGGCAAGTCATGAGGCCATGTGCTCTAGCCTGGAGAGTACTGGTTATATCTGGATTTAGTGAGGTCTGAAGTGTCTAGTGCAGCGAGGACATGACAAGACACGTTCATGGCTCCTGTTAGAGGGTTAATGTGCTTTCTCTGGTCTTATTTTAAAGACTGATGTGATCAAAATGTTATATTTTAATGGGAAACAGCAATTTCTTGAATATATGTTCTTAGTATGACATGCTCTGGCAGTAATATTAATGATAGTAGTAGTAGTGCTATGAGATCAGGTTTAGACAGAGGATTTCAAATTCCTCAATTCAGTAATGTCTAAAATTATAAATAATATACTGTGGATATTTACATAAACCATTTTGCTTGTGATATTTATTGTCATGGAAATAAATACAGGACTGAAAACAAAAGCTTGCAGGATTAAAACAGCTCTTTTGACTACTTTTAATCTCTTGAAAACATTAATATATTTTGTTTTTCCTATAATATCTGATTATTATAGCTTAAATTGTCTCATTGATAAAAAGGCAATGGAGACATTTAACTCCCAGTGAGCTCCCAATTACTAGTAGTTCCAAATACAAAAATACAAAGAGGAAAAAAAGCTATAAATTGGTGGGTTTTTTTCCCATGTCAAGTAGCTAATGTCTCCTTCATTTCCTCCAGATGCTGATCATCGTGAGAAGAAGTACAAGGCCCATCGTCAGTTTGGAGACAGGCGTGGAGGGGTTACCAGCGCTCGTACCTACTTTTACGCAGATGAGAACAAATGTGACAGCCAAATGGAGACATTCATAAACTGCATTAGAGCCTCTGGTAAGTAGTCAGGCTTCTGAGGGAGTAATTGAGGAACATAAAATGTTAGTTTGGATATTATTAATGGCTATACAAGCCCAAACTATAGTGAAAAATACACCGCATTAAATGGGTGTGGAGTCATAAAACACAGAGATATAAAATGTTTCATCAATTTCAGGTGGAGCCTCAGCTGATGGATTTTCTGCTATCAAAATGACTGCCCTGGGACGCCCTCAGTTCCTTGTAAGTTTTGCTTCATGTCTTCAATATAAAGTCAAAGATTCAGATTTTAGATAACAGTATGAATGGCATTGATTGGCAACAACAGTGCTGCTAGATCTAACAACAACAAACCACACAGCAATTATTACGGGGTAATAGGTTAATGAAACATTAGCTGTTTATCTCTTTATGGTTTTGAGTCAGTGCCAGTGGATTAGTATGGTCATAGGTTCACATTAAGAGACAAGAGGGAGACTGTGTCAGGTCTTAACTTTCTCAGACAAAAGTTAAGTATGATTCAAATGCAGTATTATGATTTGATTGTTTATGAATTGGTGTGCGTTTGAACAGCTCCAGTTTTCAGAGGTCCTGGTGAAATGGAGACAGTTCTTTAACGTCCTCGCAGCACAACAGGGAAAATCTGAGATGATGGTTTTGGAGCAGAAGCTGGAGCTGGAAGAACTCAAGGTGTGTTTTGCCTTTGGCGTCTAATACAGGTTCATGCATGTTCATCCATAACTGGTGTCCTCAAATAACGTGTAATTGTTTTGTAGGTGTTCTGAAGTTATGACTTTAAGAGCCATGTCTTTATTTCTTTGTAGGAAAGCTTGACAAAGATGGGTGTTGGAGCCAAGGATGACATAGAGAATTGGTTTACTGGAGAGAAGCTGGGTTTGTCAGGGTAAGTCAGCTTTTGCTTTTGATTATATACATCCATACTACAATGCCCCTGGCATTCTTGAATCCCTGTGTAGTCAGTTGGAAAACAAGGGGTGTTACATATTTTAATATATATTTTCTCACATCTTATTGCCAGAACGATAGATCTGCTGGACTGGAACAGTCTAATAAATGACACAACGACAATCTCCAACCTGCTCATGGTGCCAAACCTGGAGGTGAGTCATGTAAATATTTAGCGGTGTTCCCAGAATCTGAGAAGGGAAATAAATGCACAGACTGTGGCAGTTCAGTAAATGTTGCCCATGTACGTCGTCTTCCGTTTATATCAGTCTCATAATTTCCCATGTTTCCTGTACCCTGAGATGTGTATGATAAACACAGAAGGCCTTAATATCATCTTTAAAAGGGCGTGTTTTCAGCAGTGATACAGCATTTAAGAGCAGACACCCATTTTTGGTGATCATTTTCTAGTTCATACTTCTTAAACTGCATTTCAGACTCATCATTTTTATAGATAAATGTTATTATATGGTAAAGTAGCAGATAGTGATGTAAATGAATTAATAAAATAGATGTTAGCAAGACAACAGTGTTTGTCTCCCCATTTGAACTTGGACTGCTTTGACATATTGTGGGGGCAAGTTGATATATATCATAGCAGACATGGATCTTCTTCAACAATATAATAACCAGGGCAATATCATATCTTTTCCTCAGAAGAACACAACATAATTTGGGACACACAGTGCTCCATACATTTCTGCATAGTTGGTATGAGTCCAGTTATAATGCACATGTTAATGTAGCCAGTTCTAGTGAGGGCAGTTGTCCGATTGAAAAGGGACACTGGACAAAATGGCAGAGGCACTCATGCTGCTCTCATCCTAACTCACCCAACCCCCACTCTGCCTGCCACACACTGATATAGTTAGTGGGGTTACCCTGATCATAATGGCTTTGAAAGGAGATGTTAAACAATTCAATGTTTTGTGTGTTGCTTTGCAGACAGGTCATCTGGAGCCTTTGTTGAACAAGTTCACAGCGGAGGAGGAGAGGCAGATGAAGAGAATGCTGCAGAGAGTGGACGTTCTGGCCAAGGTGAAGATACCAAAACAAGACAGACATCTGAACCCATTTTATTGCAGTCAAACCTGGTTCGAGGAAGTCAAATAAATCAGAAGTGAATTGTGTTTGCTGAAGTGACAAATCTGTTTGTCACCTTAAGAGCTTGTGTACATTAAGTAAATATTATTTTTCTCTGCGCCCCAGCATGCTGTGGAGAATGGAGTAAGGCTAATGGTGGACGCCGAGCAGACGTACTTCCAACCAGCTATTAGTCGGCTGACCCTGGAAATGCAGAGGATATTCAACAGAGAAAAGCCAATCATTTTCAACACCTATCAGTGTTACCTCAAGGTAAGACCAACACTCTGTGGGGAAAAAGTAGGCGTACACAGGTTTACAGCATCAGCGGCACCAGTGTGTCTGGCATCATCTAACGTGGATGAGATAAGACAATATTCGTACAGCATTCGTACATTCAGTGGCACTTTTCATGGAGTGTTGAACACATAGCATTCCTGGACTTTAATCCATGTTGCGTAGACAGATGTTTGAGCATGTTGCTGGCGTTTCCACCCTTTCTTGAAATTATAATTTGATTGACGTTACAAGCACTGTCGTCATCTCTCCACATAAAAAGAAGCCATGCTTTAGGCTGTGACTCCTTAACGTTGAAAGATGCCAGCAGTCTAGACACACGGGTTTGGCGTCATTGTTTTACAGAGCACAACTATTGGAATAACATGCAGGCACTGACAAAAGTAACTGATAAGCTCAGAGGCATGTGATGTCTATGTTTGTGATTGTGGAACCAGTTCTTGATATCCATCCCTAGGAATCATCACAGCTGACTTCTGTACTCATAGAGGTACCCTGCACTGTAAGGATGATTTGAAATAGTGATATCCTTTTATGTTTTTTAATTCTCCTAGGAAGCCTATGACAATGTAACCGTGGATGTCGAGCTGTCGCGACGGGAGGGCTGGTACTTTGGTGCCAAACTGGTTCGTGGAGCCTACATGTACCAAGAGAGAGACAGGGCCAAAGAGATTGGCTACGAAGACCCAATAAACCCAGACTATGAGAGCACCAACAGGATGTATCACAAGTGAGTTTTCAATTGTTATCAAGACCCTTGATGGCTTCGCTAGAACATGTCTAAATCCTAATCATCCGTCTTGTCATTCATCCAGGTGTTTGGAGTATGTGCTGGAGGAGATCGAACACAGCAGGAAAGCAAATATCATGGTTGCGACTCACAACGAGGACACGGTTAAATTCACCCTAGAAAAGTACGTATTATCTCAGGCCTGCATGACAACTTCAAACTTCCATTTGGCATGTACCATGGGCAAAGTGTTTGAACACAAAAGCCTTAAACCTCTCATTTACGGATTAGGCTTAATGGTTTAAACCAATGATCAGGATGTTGAGTTCAGTGAAACATATTCTTTGTTAACTTTCCAAACCATTTAAAGGCTTTACAGAATGAGATTGTCACATGAAGGCTTGAATACCACTCTCCAGCTCTTATTATGTAACAGCTCTGTAATGTACTTTTTTCCCCTGTTTTTTCAGGATGAATGAAATGGGCCTGTCACCCACTGAGAATAAAGTTTACTTTGGACAGCTGCTCGGCATGTGTGATCAGATCAGCTTCCCACTAGGTATGTTGCCCTCCAGCTCTGATTCTAAAAGTAAACAGCGAGTTATGGAATCATGGAGACTTACATCACAGAGTCATGTGGTCAGAGAGGCTCCACTGACACGTAGTCCCTTTACGCGTCAGCTTTTCGACACTCACACGGCCACTGACCTTACAGATATTCTGTCCAATCTATTGATATCTTGGGAGCAAACAACTCCAGGGTCTCAGTGTCCTTATTACCAAAGCTCAGCACGCTATCAGTCTGCACAGAAACACATCACCATGCAAAGGGTTAGAGGTACACATTCAAGAAAACAGTCAGTATACGTCTGTGCATAGTAGCTCTTTGTTTCTCTGTATAAAAACTCTCAACAGTCAGTCTAAATGTATTATGTAAGTGAGATACAGAAGACAAATAGGTAACATTTCAACCTCCTGATTAAAATTGTTAATGCCATAGCAGCCTTAACCTTCCCTCCACTAGTGAGACATACTGGCTGGTTTGACCTTGTCATATCGCTTGATATGTAATATCAAAACCCTGTTTTTACCTATCAGTGTTATCTCAATACATTTAATCACCACAAGTACATTTCTAAATAAAGTAAATAATGTTTTAAAGGAACAGTGTGCAAGATGTCGGAAGATTTAGTGACATCTAGTAGTAAGGATTGCAGATTGCAGCCAGTTGAAACATTTCTTGATTAGAATTCTTTCAGTGTTGTTGCTGTTGTTCAGGAGGTTTTAAGGTGAGCCTAATTATCTGCAGAGGTCTCTTCCTCTCCAAAACAAACAGACCAGGTGATTAAAACCAGTAAAAACACTGAATAAAGCAGTTTCATGTTAAAAAATAAGTGTTTTTCCAATGATCTCATTCCCGAGGGGCTGCTAACTATGGTGGCAAATGGCCCTTTCTTGAGCCAGTATTTAATTGTCCATTCTGGGCTTCCGTAGAAATATTTCGGTGCAACATGGTGGACTTCGTGGACGAGTACCCGCTACCTATGTAGATATAAATGGCTCATTCTATGGTAACAAAAACACAACAAGTCTTATTTTCAGGTGATCATACACTAAAGAAAACATACTTATAATATTATATTCCATTTCTGACAGTATATCCCCCTAAATCCTACACACTGGACCTTTAATTTACAGAGTAAACACTGAGTCAGTTTTGACAGCAAGTGTCTTTGTAGCACAGTTAACTTTATGAACTCATCTCAGCTCAATGTGTATGTTGGACATACCAGCTAAACACATCACATGGAATGGAGATAGTGGATATTGATTGTTTTTCTGCTCTGTGTTGAAATTAGGCCAAGCTGGTTTCCCAGTCTACAAGTATGTTCCATATGGCCCAGTCAATGAGGTCATTCCTTACCTGTCTCGCCGTGCTCAAGAGAACCGCGGCTTCATGAAGGGATCCCAGAGAGAGCGCAGCCTGCTGTGGACTGAGCTGAAACGCAGGATGCTGGGCGGACAGATTTTCTACAAGCCTGTCTACTGAGGCACAGGACCACAACATACTAAGTGCGGTACATCTGTAATCATTCCACCATCTTAACCAGCTTACTGCTCCCTGTAGAGGAAGATTCATGTCCTTCCTTGGCTTGTTAGGCTGCACAATATGGAGGAAGGTTTTGCCATTTCAGTGACAGATATTTTATGTGTTGTATGGTTTGCGATGTTCATTTTAGCAGTATATTTAATACAGGAGTCTTTAAAACATCACCACAGTGTTACATTGTGGATATGTTTGTGCTGCTGCGTTAAGAAGAACTGATTTAGTTTTTTGTCTGAATCATAAGTTGTTTATTTAACTCATCAGAATCAACACATTTATCATCAAATATTTATGCTTCTAAACACTGATCCTTTCTGACATATAGCATGGAATTATTCAGTAGAGGCTAAGAAAAGTTTATGTGTATATATGGTTACCAAAGGTGGCTTACTTGTATATAAATATACAGCATTTGCCCTGTGCTTTGTCATGGTACGTTTTGTCCTGTGTTAACTTAATTTTATGTAACTGTCACTGAAAGTGCCTCATGATTGTTTTCATAAGATTAACTGGAAGCAATCAGCGACTGTACAACTTAGGTTTGTTTATGTACACTCCTCTGACGCCTGCTCTTTGATGTTCCTAAGGGTAAGAGCAGATGAAATGTTAAGTTTTACAAAATGAAACACACAGTTTCTAATTGTAAACTGTTAAGGTTAATGTGTTGTGGATGTGTGGAAATGAGCCAGCCACCTGTGACGTGGAAATGACTGTTTGCAGTACCAAATCCTCATTTTGCGTCCGACAAAACAAACTCCATTTACTGTCTACTGAGCGGTTCGAGGCTAAAGAGTGACTCAGTGTAATCCATTTCAGTGGATCATTCACGTCTAGTGTGCTCTTATACTTGACAAGTGCCAGATGGCCCTGACGACATAATTGTCCGAAATAAAGAGCATCTCCTGCTCGTCAAACAGAGGCAGATGTTCAAATCAGAAAACCAGGAACTGTTACGCCCCGTGTACCAAAATGTTCCAAAAACATGCTGCGGTTACTGCTGTGAATTTCGAGGAAAAATGCCTCCAAGTATTCTGAGAACACCTGCGCTGTTGCATAAGCTGCACTGGAGGAGAAGTGGCCTGTGAGGTTAATTTGTTTTGGTGGGAAGATTTCAGAAAGACTGGTTGTGTCAGTATCTCTGGTTTCAGTGCTGCCCAGTGGAGTCCTCTGAAAGGTTTTGGAATGAATGTATTATAAATTGATAAGTTGTTTTCTGAGGACTGGAAATGAATACTGTAAAATTTTCTTACACCTTTGTAAAAGGCATTAAACTAAAACAATGAATCCTTATTGTAAAGTTAAATAAAATATACCGGGTGTTTTGGGACATGACAAAAGTCAATAGTCTTAAAGTAGGTCTGTGTTGCCATTGTGACATAATTTCTAATGCTTGTATTTTACCCTACATCAGTGTTGCCATGAGAATTTGACATAAAGCCATAAAAACATGAAGTCAAGTCAAATTTTAACACCATCAGAATAATCAAGTTGCCCTTATGGTGTGGATGGTTGAGTTTTTGAGTGGTAACCTGGTAACACTGGGTCATTTGAAATATTTTTTATAGAAATACTGGTTTTATTTGAGTGCATTTCATGTTGTTTTTCTTTTTAGTTTTTCTCCGTCATCACTGCTGTATTACTATACCACATTTTGTACAGTTGTAATATACATGTAATTTTTGATTAACACAATAAAATACGGTTGACATTAAAAGCATGTGTTGGAAGTTAATTTGAACAGCACTGAGCTGTAAATATGTTAAGTTTTTGTTCAAATAAACACAAGAAATTTGTGCTCTAGAAAAGGATCAGCACTCAGTGAATAACCTCCTAAGCCCTATGATAAGCTATTATGGCCCAGACCAGTGAGCAGTGATAACTAACATGTCTTTGGGGTCATCGGGTGGGAATCTCCTTTCACCAGTGTTTCGTCTAGTTGGTCCCACGACACCTCCAGGAGGCTAGACAGTGATCTCTGACGTCCCAGAGACACTCCCCTAACGCCAGCTCTCACTGCTCCCCGCACTGACCCAACAACCTCCTTTACCTTACTTACACATGGCTTTCTCAGCCCAAACAGCACTGCCACCTCCAACAAACCCAGGCTCCGTTGATGCGAACTCCAGGTAGCGACCGTGCCGATACTACCTTTCCTAGCACATTCACCATACTCTATTTCACATGCTACGTATCACAACTCCAATATAAGCTTAAGTTAAAGGAGATAGAGAAGATAAACTCACAGGCTTTCTCAGCCCAAACAGCACTGCCACCTTCAACAAACCCAGGCTCCGTTGATGCGAGTTCCAGGTAGTGACCGTGCACATTCACCATACCCTATTTCAAGTTAAAGTTAAATTGTTGGGGAGGATTTGTGGAGTTGGAAAACTCAGAGGTTGCATACAAGAGATAAGATAATATAATAATTCATTCTTCCCGCGAAGGGGAAATTTGCTACATTACAGCAGCAACAGGATTGAGAGTGCAAACAGGAAGCATCGGTAGAAAAAATACAAAGCAATATATAAGCACATAAAATAAGTTAACTATACAAAAATGAGCAATATGATAAGGAGGCATCAAAAAGAAGCAGAATATAATAAAGAAACAGACTGAATGGCTGATTTTACATTATTGACCAATGGAAGTATAGATATTGCAGTTTAACAACACTGATATTGCACCTGAGTGATTGATTGTGAGCAGTAAAAAAAATAAAAGCAAGATACAATGTTAAATAGACCATCTGAGTGGCAGAATTTACATTATTGCATGTATCAAGTGTAGATATCTCACAGTAAATACAGATACAGATATTGTACATGAGTGATGATTGAATATTGTTGATACAGTATTTTATTTAAGACAGTCTTTGCTGCTTTAAAGTTTTACAACTCCATCCGCTGCCCTAACTATAGCACCCCAGACTGGATCAACACAACCCTTATCTTCTTTCGTAGTGACATAGCTGTGGTTGTCCTCCCTGACGTAATCTGATGTCAGTGACATCAACAACTACACTCACTGTCACACAGATGCCAGTGAGCCCCCTGTGTCAAGTCGATGTGACCTGCTAGATAAGGGGTGACAAAGCCCTGATCTAACAGGTAAAAGATAAAGACCTACTTCAATTCTTTAAGCAGATTTGTCACGCAACAATCTGTCATGGTTACAACAGTTGTGTAGAGATGTACCATTCAGCAGACGCCTATTTTACAGACCAGTTCAGCCTCTGTGGGAGGAGAGTTTACATCTGACTTCTTTTAGCCCTCACAGCCAATGAGATATGGCTTCAGGTGTGTGTCCAGTACTCCGAACAATAGAGGGTTCTCTTTCACCTGGTCGCAAAGCCTCATAACGACACTTCTGATGCTGTCATCTGCAGGTAAATAACGCTCTTTGCTCGTTTGTCTTCCACACATATGTTCACGTATTGTATCTGTGATTTGGCATGTTGTTTATACCCAGGCTGTTCTGATAATCACAAGGAGCTTAAATTTTCTTAATGGGTCATAAGAATTGTTATTTCAAGTTAAAGTTCAAGTTAAGTTTCATGTTGTATATTATTTAATCAATTTGTCTTTTATAACCGCAGCTGCTCTGAGACGTACATACGACTCTCATCAAATGTAACAAATCAACTACATATATGACTGTCAGCTTTATCAGAAGTCAGAGCTGGAATGCAAACTGACGCACATTGTCCACATGACATGAAGCATGAGCATATGTCTAGTGTCAAACATTTGATATTTAGCCATTTGCGCTATGAGCACTATGCTGTTTTACGGTGCTTGTGTCTCAGCTGTGTTTTGCATGTGCCTCTTTTGTGTTTCTATTTCTGCTGTTTCTGCTGTGAAGGTAAGTTAAGCACCGTAAACATGTTTATGGTGTAAACATGGGGGCCGTGGTTTTATCTGACAGAAAGAATGATGCAGCAGTTTTCTTGCTTATCTGTTATCTCCTCTGTTCTCATTCTTCCGTTTATCATGTAGATTTTCTTTTAAACTCATCTGTGAAAAACATTAAATTCAAATGGGTCAGGTGCGCTTTCTGTAAATACATAATAATGACTCGGCTGTATTGGGGGATGAGGTGAGGTAAGGGGGTAATTAGGTGGCCCGTGTGCAAGGATTGCTGCAGGGAATTACTACTGTTTATGAGCTTTGTGTAGCTGCTCGTTGAGTTTGTGAGAACACAACAGTTACACAGCAAAATCAAGCAAGGTGTGCAGGAGTGTAACTTATGGGGGGGGGGGGGGGCACACTTTTTGAGAAGGCAGTATTGGGATCTAATGTCACATAAACACACAGCACCCACTCAAGCTCCCAGTCCCCCATCCAAATCCCCCTTCCCTCTCCTCTCGTGCTCACTCAAAGCAATTCTGCAGCCAGAAGCTCAGCAGAAACATTACCAATGTCCAAGTGGCTGCGGCTCAAGAGGCAGAGTGGGCTGTCCAGTACTCAGAATATCAGTATTTCAGTCCCTGGCTCCTCCAGCCTACGTGTCAAAGTAATCTTGGAGAAGATACTGAACTCCAAACTGAGTGTGTGAGAATGTTGGTGGCCCCTTGTAACCTTGGCCTTGTGAATGTGTTAATGTTGCATGTAATGTAGAAGCACTTTGAGGGATGGGAAGCCCAGAGAGGTGCTTGCCACATGCAAACCCCTAGCTAATGTTACGTTATGAATATTCCTAGTAAGATCATGTTGGAACATCGATACCGCTTTGTAAATGTCTTCACTGTCTTGTCTTTTTAATGTCATTTTCAGGCTCCTGTTTTGGTGTTAATGATGTCTGGTATCAAAAGAAAGAAGTGTACACTTTTAACATGGAGGACAGTTCTCTGGGTTTTATTGACCAACATCATGCTGCTGCTGTATTGCCTGATGAACACAACCCAAGTAAAGATCAGGTAAAGATTGAAAAAGACAGCATTATTTTATTGTGTAAAGTCTGTTATGTGTTTGCTGATCCATATGTTTTATTCACAGGGGCTCAAAACAAGACACGTGTCCTCTCAGTATGGCCAAATTTTTAAAGAAAAATGTGAGCACACCTTCTCAGAGCAGAGAAGCGTGCTCCCCCACATTCAACGTCATGTTCATGAAGACCCATAAAACTGCCAGCAGCACCATACTCAACATCCTCTTCAGATTTGGAGAAAAGCACAAGCTTAAATTCGCCTTCCCCGATGGGCGCAACGACTTCTTCTACCCGTCGCCTTTCCTGTGCTCCCAGGTGAAGGACTACAGGCCTGGAGACTGTTTCAACATTGTTTGTAACCACATGCGCTTCGACCATCAGGAAGTAGCCAAGCTCCTGCCTTCAGACGCTGTGTACATCACCATCCTACGTGACCCAGTGGCTCTCTTTGAGTCGTCCTTCCACTATTATCACAGAGCAGTTCCTCTCACGTGGAGGATCAATGGAGAGAACAAACTGGCGGAGTTTCTAAACAGTCCTCAGACCTTCTACAGCCCAGAGGCCTTTAACTCATTCTACCTTAAAAATCTGCTCTCTTTTGACTTTGGTTTTGATAACAATCTGGAGGCCGATGATTCTCGTGTAATGAGGAATATTCATAACTTATCAAAACGTTTTGATCTGGTTCTCGTAGCAGAATATTTCGAGGAGTCTCTTATCCTGCTTAAGGACACACTGTGTTGGACCATGGAGGACATACTATACTTTAAACTCAATGCTCGCAGGAGCTCATCTGTATCGCGTCTTACCTCTGAGTTGAGAGCCAAAGCTTTACAGTGGAACGGAGCTGACTGGAGACTCTATCAGCACTTTAATGCTACCTTCTGGGCCAGAGTGGAGGCGTACGGGAGAGACAGAATGGAACAGGAGGTAAACGAGCTGAGGAGACGAAACGCTGAGATGAGGGCCATTTGTATCGAGGATGGAGGTGCAGTTGAAGCCCAGAACATTCAGGACAGACGCTTCCTGCCCTGGCAGCCAGTTGGAGAGTCTTCAATTCTCGGATATAACGTGAAGAAAAATATTGATTCGAGATTCAGGACAATCTGTGAAAAAATGCTCACACCTGAAATACAGTACTTGTCAGAGCTGGGCGTGAGCCTGTGGCTTACTAGACTGTGGGGTTGGTTTAAGGATACTGTTTTTAGTTTGACTTGAATTATGACATTTACAGTGAAAACGTTGTAATTTATCCTACAACATGTGTGTTTTTCAGTTTTCTTCTGAACAATGCATCCATAACGTTACTTCAGATGTGTCACCTAGAAGCTTTATTACCCTTCAGCACCTCAGACACCTCATAACATCTTGGCCATAATTGCTCTTCACAGTTTGTTGTATCTTTCATCATTGTACACTCCATAAAAATAATGTGTTTACACTCTTTTAAAACTGGCATGAAGAGTAAACAGTAAGACTCCCCTATGCACCTAAGTTGTAAATGTCTGCAGCTGATACTCGCCTCCATGGTAAGGTTTACATAGTTACTGCTCCAGCAATGTTGCGCAAAGCTTATTTGCTTGATTTTCCACTGCAAGAACAAATGTTTCCTCGCCCTGGTGCAAATTTTCCATTGAACCCAGAGGAATGAAATCAGGGCGTGCCATCTATCACTAAGCAATCAGCTACTATGTTGTTGAGAGTGGTTCTTGTAATTCAGTGGGACGGGCAATGCTAGTGTGCCCCCTAGAGGCCTGAGGCTCAGGTGCAGTTTTATGCAATGAATTTGAATAGCTGTGGCCTTGCCTGACCCTGTCAGTCCAGTTTACATGTCTTCATCATCAGCAGTAATGATGGTTTGACATGGCAAAACTTTTTATGTGGGTACATTTTAATTTCAATTTAGGCATAAGCCAATGATAAGTGATTTTTTGGTAAAAGGTGGCAGCTACTTTTTGCTAGTTTGGCCAGGCCAGTATAAGCTATACTTTTGACTGATAGCCTTAGATTTCCAACACCATCTTATACCTTGACCTGCAGGTTAATCTGAATAAGCTTCATCATTTCATGCCAAAGGAAAAGTTGAGTTTAACAATTTAAGTTTCTTTTCATTGCAATATTTGTGGTGCATATAGACATTTTTATAACCCATCTCTAATGAAGATTGTCTTCCCATACAAATATAAAATGTCATCCTTGAGCTTAAGATTCCGTATTATGTATGTACTTGAAGCTAATACAGCAGGCACATCTAACTGCAGAGACCTTATGTACAGTATTGTGTGCACAAGGAATCATTGTTAAGGCTCATACACTGATTACTGGTATCACTGAAATCTGCCAGCCTGGCTGTCCTGTTTTTTTTTTTTTGTAAATGATTTTTGTTGTAAACTTGCTTGAAAATATGCTATGTAAACAAAGGGTGTATTTATAACTATTATTTTTACTTATCATATGAAGGCTTACTGTTTGGTTGTAATATAGTACATGTGGAAACAATGAGCACTTGTCTGTCCTCCTCACACCATTCTGTGGCATTTTTGTCTCAGAATCCGGCCGTGGCCTTTGCTGCTTCTTAAATGTTCCTTTTTTTTGCCATCTATAGCCTCTAAATAATGTCCCTTTTCATTCAGGTGATTTTTGTACAGAACATGTACTTGTATGTATGCAGCCCATTGTGATAAAATGCCATGTAACTTGATTTCTAAGCCTCCACCTTGTGTTACGTGTTCATTTTCTTGGTGAAAAATATTGCAAGGTTGTTAATGACAGTGACAAATAAAGCATGATTTTGTGGTTTAAAGGCACAGCTACAGCAATTTGGAAACACATAATGGTTAAATAGTGAATGCAAAGTGATGCTTTCATTGGAATACAGTCTTTTGTCTGCCCACTTGGACATTTGAATTCCCTCTGAGCTCAGATACCATGCTGTCATAACACTGCAATTTTGAAATGACATAATAAAAGGTACATAAAAATCTAAAAACAGCCACAGACATATGAAAAGTACTGCAAGTACCCATCCACTGTATATTTTGAAAAAGCTTGCACACATGCAGTTCAATGGAAACATCAGTTTTACTAAAGATGGGCTGCATTATGCATAGGGTGTAAAGAGTGTGTGTTCTGATGAAAATACCACTAAAATTAAAGTATTACCAAAAATCAAGTAAAATGCATTGACAATCCTTACACTGACACATGCATGTCATATTCAATATGATAAATTAAAACATGGCAAGATCTTTACGACATTAACATATGTTTAATTTAACCATTTACAATCTTTGAGGGGAACGAAGGCTTTAAAAACAACAACAGGAAGGGTTAGAGGACGAGGTGACAGGAACCACTGCTCCATCTTCATGGTGGTCTGGACAGTCAGTCAGCTCCCACAGGTCCTCCAGTTGCCGCTGCCAGCCTGGGCATGACTATGAGCACATTGTCCATGTTGACTGATGCTTGTTTCAGGTATGGAGTCCAGAAGAATGGATCAGGGAAGTGTGTCAACAGTTGCACTTTAGCCTTAGGTAACCCCGCGGCGTCCTATTCCTCGTCTTGGTTCTCGTAGTTGTGTTTGATGTGTTTCCATAGTTTCTATAATAAAGCAATACTGGATAACGTTAGACATTTCCCGTGAGCACATAGATTATATCAGCAAGCAGTTGTAAAATGACGCGACTGTTCCTCTTAGCGGGCAAGCTAGGTTAGCTAATGCTAACGCCGCTTCGCCCTCTGCGTACAAGGTCAGGATAAAACAAGCATTAAAACACCAAGAAGACGCACTTACCCCGCGATTCATTTGCTCAAAAATCGCGTCGCCACCTTGGTCAAATATTCGCTCGAAGAAGACCGCTCCAACCATGATGGTTAAAGCGAAAGAAGACGTTCTCCTGAAGAGCAGATTGTAGACAGACTTTGCCAGCGCCATGTTGGTGGAATAACGCAGTGCGCAGGACCGGAAGCTGAGTCAAAATGCTTCGCTTTTCGCTTTATGACCCTGCAAAGATGCCGTATGTAAGTATTTCCGTTTTGTTACTAACGTTAGTTAACTGCAAACTGTACGTGGTCTTCTTTAAAAAGCAAACATCTTAGAAGGATCGCATTGTTTCGCCAATGGTTTGTGCTATTTCCAGTTTAAATTCAGTAAACATAGGGATTGAAAGCAAACCTTAATCCGTTGGGCAATAACATTAACTGTAAAAAAAAAATAGCATGCGAGCTAACGTTAGCTAACTATCCAACGCTAACAACGCTACGAGCGAACGCTGGGTAATCTGGGGGAGTAATTGCCCGAGCATCAAACTACTGGTTTACATACTCAGCATATATCTAAACAGTCCAATACCTTAAGAATTTGATATTTAGAGTAAGACAGGAAGTCACACCAAGGCAAAAATAAATGCACCTCCATAACTAAACCATAACTAAACCATTAGATGGCAGCAAAAGATGGCTGCCATTTCCACTTGTTCTTGTTTATCCTATTGCTGATCTTCCTTGTGTTCTTGATATCAGGCTGGATCCAGTTTGTGCCTCTCATGCAATCATTTTTTGTGGTCCTAGACCAAATCTGTAATTACATGTGGGACTTTCACATAAATACAAACGTATTTGATGTGAAAGTAAACAAACAAATGAGACCAGAAATGTTTTATGCAAATCCAAGCAACCCTGCTTTGATAGGGAAGTCTCAAATGTCAAAATAGATCAATACTAGGACCATGATTAGGCCTGATTAGGTCTGTTATGTACTTCGTACTGTTTTTTCTCCAAAGGATTAGTTGATTAATTGATAAATGAATTGACTGAGATGAATTTATGAATACTTAATCTTGTTTAGATTTGAGGGTTTGCTGCTGTTTTATATTACTTTAGAACATCTTTGGGTTTTAGACTTTTGGGCAGTCAGACAAAACAAACCACAATTTGAAGATGTTGTCTTGGATCATGGGAAACTGTAAATTTGCATTTTTGACTGTTTCCTGCTTTATTTTGTATCTGTTAATCACAGAAATAATCATCAATGACAGTCTCTTTGACTAAACAACTCTTTTTGTTTTAGAAAAGCCTTTGTCTCGTTTTGTGCATAATGGAACACAACATGGCAATGCTCTCTCAGTTGATGTTGTATCATACTGAAACTATTTTGGTCAGCGCAGCTATTCCCTCACCATGTGTTGATAGAGCGGTTATTTACTGTAAATGTGTTTCATTTCTGTTCACTGTCTTTCAGTGATTTAAAAGGTGACATCTTGCTGGTTTTAGCACATAGCCTGCACCATGGGGAAGAGATACTACTGTGACTACTGCGACCGGTCCTTTCAGGACAACATGCATAACAGGAAAAAACATCTGAATGGTGTTCAGCATCACCGAGCCAAAAAAGCCTGGTATGACTATTTCAGAGGTGAGCCTTGCAATTTGTCCTTTGATGTCTAGGATGTGGTCACAATAAAAATGTAATTTCATGCTTTCTTTTTATGACATGATGTTTTAGTGTAAATGCATTTAAACTAGACAGTGATCCTGCATGTTTTATTGAACTATTGAAAATGCTAGTCTTAAACCTATTTGGGAGATTTTGATTAATGAATTAAGCATGCTTACATTTCGTTATACCATCTTGGCTGCCCACCTGTTAACTTTATTATGGAAGATTATAGAAACAACCATGGACAACACTGTCATTTTTCTTTGCCAAGACTCTTCAGCCATTCTGTATGACGAGCAAACAAAGAAACCCTGCAGGAAGTTTCTCCAAAAAGGTAACAGAATGCTTAAATGATACAGCTATCCCATAACCAGGAAATTATATTGAACACCTTTTTGTTACCCTCATTTTTTCCCTGGTTTTTATTTGCAGGAATTTGTGATTTTGGCCCGAACTGCAGGTTTTCCCACATGTCTGAAGAGGATCTGTTTAATTTAAAAAGACAGGTGGAAGGTAAGCTGAAACCAAAGGTTAGAGCTGTCTACCTTGTCATTTACACCTTTTTAAATGAACATCACAGCCACCCAAAGCAATATGCCACACATATCATTTGCAAATTTAATAGTACTATCTAAAATATTCTTTTAGCATTGCACTCACGTCACAGATGATCATCATATTCCAGATTGTTAAAAGCTCAAATGTAATGCTGCAGATGGTGCATCTGAAACAAACTCAGAAAAAAGAAAGCACTCCAAGTACCTTGGGTCAGCACTTTCTCATACACTCCCTAAAAGAAACCTAATAGTATACAAGTAGAAAGTGTCAAGAACATTTTGTGCAGAAGACTGTGTGGATTGGGATATGTTGACAGGAGTGAGCTATAATTTATTTCAGATGAGAGAAGGCACAGAGAGGGCTCTGTAGACAGAATGATACCCGGGCAAAGCATTGAAGAATGGCTCTCCAGAAGAGAAAAGAAGCAAACTGCCCTCAGTATCAAAGGGTATGCACTTTCCTTTTTGTTTCAACACTTAGTCACACATGGTTAGCATTGCTAATGGTTATTCCTGTTGATTTAGAATTCAACTGCTCAATTATTTATCCCTGCAGAGATCGGGAAAATAAGGAAGACAGCGAAGAGGGCCAAGAAGAAAGTGAAATACTTCAACAGCTCCTCTCCATCCCTGACCTTCCACCCTCTCTCCTACCGCCTCCTCCAGGCGGATGGAAAGTCACAGAGAACACAGAGTGGGGGTGAAAGATTTCCACATCACTTTAAAGTGGATATGGGACATTAATAGGAGGAGGAATGGCATAGAATAGATTTATGTTCGTATTGGAAGGTTTGTCAGTTTGAAATGAAGTTTTAAGTTGAGTCCAAAAGGAGATTGTTGCCATTTCTCTTCCTCAAGAGTGAACATTTTGTGTGCCGTACACTATAGGTCCTGTCTGTTTCATGAAAAATAATTTTTAATTTATTACATTTTATTTAAGATGTCAAGTTTCTTGAGTAAGAATTACATGTAACATTAAAAAATAGCTGATTTAAAATGAGTAAAAGTTTGTATTTACACACATTTTTAAAACACAATAAAAGTAAATCTGAGATTAACGATTCCCACACAAGCAGTGCATAATAATCCTCATAACTGACATCTTGGCAGTGTGTTGTTGATTGCTCCACCAATCTGGAGTCGAGTGCCTTTACCGTGAAACTCCTCTGAGGAGTTACATTTGATGCCGTGCAGTCCCAAAAGGAGCGGAGGATTGCTGAGCAGATGGAAATAATTTTTTGTTTATTTTTAATCCTCTGCTGCGTCACCGGGGGAGTCACTGATCTGACTGCATTTTATTTGTAACCCAGCCAACTGAAAACACCATTTTACTTCCTAAATAGTAAAGGTTGCAAACTAATGATCTGGATTAAGCTTCATGATGAAAGTTTTTCTTAGATAGAAAGTTTGTTGAGACACTATTATAAATAAGCCTCATGTAGATCCCTTGGATTTGTGACTAAGCTATGTATAATTGTCACTGGCCTTTTAAAGTCCTCTAATAGGTTATTCCTCATAACTGGGCTTATGCTGAGATATATATACTTGTACCTAATGCAGTGTTTACAGCAGAATCCTCATTAAACGGCTGTGAGTATTCTTTCTGTTGTGTATCATTTTCTCTAACTTGCACTCTGCTTTCTTGGCCAGAATATGTCTGACTTTAACTTAATTTAACCTAAGTACATGCTTAGTTAAAGGTACCATAGTAGTGCCATGGAGCAGCAAGGACACGTGCACATCCAGCCTTGGTTTCAGGCTATTCTGCTTTTCAACAATTGGTGGCGATAATAAGGAAACCAACAGAGCAAAGTGCCAAACAAAGACAGCACAGAAGAAGACTGACAAAAGCAAAAATGGATGTTAACATTGAATGATTTTATGAACATATAAAAATCAGCTTTAAAATGTTAAATGAGGAAGTAAATGCATGCAACATGTTTGTAAGATCTCAAGGATATGCAGTGCATTTTGGTGAGAGACACGAAATGAAAACAACTCCTCGTAGTTTACAAGAAAACACCATATGAAGTACCTTTAAAGGTTCACTGTGTAGGATTTAGTAGCATCTAGCAGTTAGGGTTTAGGACTGAAACTTCTACTGTGTGCCATGTGTGTACAAGAACTACGGTGACCATGTTGTTCTACAGTAGCCCAGAATGGACAAACCAAACACTGTCTCTGTCTCCAAGAATGGAAATGACCCTATCTAGAGACAGTGTTTGGTTTGTCCATTCTGGGCTACTGTAGAACAACATGGTGGAGTCAGTGGAAGAGGACCAGCTCCACATGTAGAATTAAACAGCTCATTCTAAAGCCCAATTCAGACCAATCATTCACAACGAAATCAAACTATTTTAGAACGTTGCAGAGAAAAGTTGCAGTGATGTGAACTGACTCTTTGAGCTCGACTAAAGCCAGCTGACAGTGTCACCTGCAACTCAACTGGTCAAATTGCTGGCAGCTGGTTTTAGAACATGAGGCATGTCACCTCTTTCTACAGCCAATCAGCTTGTAGTGAAGTTCGCTGGTCAAGTCAAAATGGCCGCACACGACATGTTTGCTTGCTGTTCAGGTGCTCCTTCCCCACTGAGCCCTTTGTCTCCGTCCTCACATGTGCTGGTGGCGGACAGTAGGTTGCTGTTGCTCGCTGTATGTGCTTATGCCCCGCCCACACACATTCTCACTGACTAACTAATTGCCGCTGCTAACTTATTATTGCGGCAGTGGCTCAGTCCATAGGGACTTGGGTTGGGAACCGGAGGGTTGCCTGCTCAAGTCCCCGTCCGGACCAAATATTGAACGCCGACTGGTGGCTGGAGAGGTGCCAGTTCACCTCCTGGGCACTGCTGAGGTGCCCTTGAGCAAGGCACCGAACCCCCCCAACCGCTCAGGGTGCCTGACCAAGGCAGCCCCCTCACTCTGACATCTCTCTACTCTGTGCATGTATAGGTCCAGTTTGTGCATGTGGACCTGTGTGTTAATGACGAAAGAGTGAAAAAATTGAATTTCCCCTCAGGGGGATTAATAAAGTATACAAAAATAAAAAAAATATTATGAATACAGTCCATCTGATGCACATTTTGTTTCTGTTTTTGCCGTTTCATCACCACTACAAATGCAGCTGTAGCCAGTATCACACTATCACTATCCCCACTCATTTTAAGAAGCTACATATTATATTCAGCCACAACATAAGTCTGAAAAGCTGGAAATCAGAACAGAGGTACACAGTTGTTGCATAGAGATGATACACTGTCTCATCTAGTTGCATTGGTGTGAACCGGAAGGTTTTTTTGAACGTTGCAGAACGGCACATTGCAAGTAGCTGCCTGTTTCAACTTGTCTCGGTGTGAGTCTTTGGTCTGAACTGGAATTCAGGTAAGGAAAACATTATTCTAATTTTCAGGTGATTATGAACTAATAAGGACATATTCCTGAATTTATATGCTATTTTTTACCAATAGACATCCCTTAATCCCACACACTGGACCTTTAAGTAAAGGCTAGGCCATAAAAATGGCAAGTTCAGTAACATAGTTTAAGATGTATTTATGCGATGCACGTGTGGCCGTATATATATTGCAGGATCCTTATCATATATACAGGTGTATGCTGTACACTAAAGAAACTGTCACCACGTCTCCTTGCCCCAGATATAATCTTCTCATAACTACTTCATGTCCATCTCTGCTGTGCTCGCCACCCACTGATGCTAGCCCTTAAAACTAATTAAGTGTGCATGTTTTATTTCCCTCAAGTATTTTACTTCAAAGCTCGGATGCGTGCGTACATGCCACTACATGAAGTGCATCACTATACGGCTATAACCAAGTGGTCTTTCCTTTGCAGGCTGTGTGCTGTGCTCTGTTACTAATGCGTGCTCAACATGCCAGATGCTGCACCGTCAGGGCCGTCACACCATCAGATCCTGACAGTTTCTCCTCGCCACTTCTCAAAGTGTTGAATGAAGAATGGATTCAGAATATCAGTGGAGAGCATCCCTACTGGGATCTGCTCTTCTTTTCTTGGTGTTTGTGTCAACTATGTTGTGTAAATATGCCCAGTAAATGTTCCTTTTTTTGAGATTTGGGCTTTGATTTACAACCAATGCCACATATAAAAAGAAAAAACAAACATCAGGTTCATTTTTAGTGCCTTTGTTTTTATTGGACTACATGCATCTAGACACCACTTACATTAGTGTATAACTGATGCAGTAACCTCTACATGTGCAATAACAGTTACAGAAATAAAACTGCTGGATTTTCTCCGTCTAGACGTTAAAATTACTCGTAATGTCACACAGCTGGATGATACAAATATTAACTACAAGTTTTACTAAGAACAGGGGAGAGAGAAAGATAATACATGAATATTTATTGGGACTTTAGTTACTGATTGATTATTTAAGTTTGAAAAATACATTTAGCATCAGATTCATTTCTGTTAAAAGTGGCAATTTTGTAAAATGGATTTTCCTTCTTTCTAAAAGACTTTCAGAAGTAAGTCAAGGCATGAGAGCGCAGTTGTTACTCCAAATGACAAAGGCACAGAACAGGAGACGTCTACAGTCCAAATCAAAGTCATAACAACAATTAAGACAATCCGTCAACAGAGTGTACATAAATCTGCCCATTAAAGCACTGTAACATACAGAATAGGACACAATAATTACTTATATGTCTTAAGACAAGATTTGACACAATAACTATATTCTACATTCACACAAAACCCATACCTTACATGATATGTCCACACAAAGAGGTAATGTGATGTCATATAAGTAGTTCATACATAAACAGCTACTATTTAGCTACGAGATAAAATATCTGCTTTATTGCCAGGATGATACTCGCCGTCTCGCACGCTTCCTCCTGTGATATAGCTTTGATAAACTTTAAGATAAAAAGAGCAAGAAAAAATATAGAGCATTTTGTAAAACTTGTCAAATCTGACAAATATTTGTTGGAGAAAACATTCAGAAAAATGAATCTTAACCAATCAGAAAAGTTAATGTAAGTGCATGGCCTTAATACACACAAGAACTTGTATCTGAACGTCCAGTCGACCTGGAAATTATATCAGAAACCTGATATTTTTTTTTGTACGTTTTTCCCCCCTATTGTTTTTATACAAAACATCATGTTTACATTCATAATAAAATCCACATAGATTTAATGTATCACTTTTCCAAGTAAGAAAATATAACCATGTTATACTTTAAACAATGTGTTGTTTTGGTGGTCCATGTAAAGCCAGAAAACAACACTTTTCATGATATGTTAAATTATTGTTCACAGCATACTGCAAAGGATTGAGTGTTTTTCGATATTGTCTGCACGTCCACAAAAATCGACATTTACAGGAAAATGTCAAATACTGAGATTTTTTTTTTTTTGCAATGATTACGATACAAATTGCATAATTATTTTTAATACATACATCAGAGTCAAAATTTGATCTCACACACATAGAACACACATATATTTCTATTGTAATGTACATGCAAGTGTGTCGTGTGAACTGGATATCCTTCATTCTCATTTGCTAGAAATAATAATACAGTTAATACCTACTTTTCTTGAAGCTATAAACTTTATTCACAGCTGGTAGTTCAGGTCACGCAGCAAATCTTTCACTGTCACTCATTATGACTTATTTTGGTGCCTAAGTGCTCAGATTTGGAATATGCAGCATTGTGCATGTATCGCTGGCAGACTGTGAGTATGAAACATGTTTTACAAGTTGTGTGACGGTCATTTGTCTTGACGTTTGGGCTTTTTTTTTGCATAAATACCTATGCTCACACTCTTGTCTGATATCTCTTAGAGGGGATTATGTGATATCCGTCTGTGTCCTGCCTTTTATTTTGACTTTATTGTTCACTGCGGCTTAATTTTTCAACCTACATTTTTAGCTGTTTGATTTACAAATCAACCCCAAGCTGTTCAGCCAGGAAGGCTCGCTCTGAGCTTTTAAACAAACCAATTAATTTTTAGGAAACCGTGACATCTTTAGAAATAGCCCGTGGGATCAGCTGACTGGAATGCACAGCATGTGGTTTACACATGTCTCTGTTTTCCATCCTTCTTTTCAGCAGTGTTGTCCAGTGTGTTCATGTGCTTGTTCACCAGTTAATTTATTACTCATTGTCATGGTGGGAAACTTGGGAGGACTGACTTTTTCCCCTTCTTTTCACGTCTTTGCTTTTAAATCATAGGCTCTTCTTTCAGTTTAAGCTGAGCTGGGACTTGTTGGGTGATAACATGATATGATGTTTTACAAAATATTCAATGATTTAAGCTTCTAGCATCTAATAAAAGTGACAAAGCAGGGCACCTGACAGATTTGCATGTTGTCCTACAGCTGTTTGCAGCTTTGCAATATCTTAACGACACCAAGAGGCTACAGCTATGCAGCCCTGTGAAGCTGATGTTCTTAGTTTCAACAGGTATTCGGTCATCAACAAAAGTATCGGACAAATAAACAAAGCTGACTGGATGACGGCGCTATATGAAATGTCACAAAAATGCCACCAAAGTTATCACAGACCATCCTGAGGGGAACATAAATGTCTGAATTCCACGACAATCAAGCCAATAGTTGTTGAGACATTTCACTCAAAGCTGCAAATATCAACCTCAAGGTGACACTAAAGGAAAAGATCAGGGGATCACCAAAGTCATTGGGTCACATCCCTCGGGAACCATAAGAGTCTGTACCAAATTTTGTGCCAATTTATCCTGTGGATGTTGAGATTTCAAAGGATAACTGAACACTTTGATCTGCTAGTGGCATTACAGGGGAAGTCAGGGGAATCACCAAAGTCAGTAAGAGTCATTCTGTAGGAACAATGCGAGTCTGTACAAAACTTTATACAGCAGTCATCCAGATATTTCAGTGGTGACAGTGTCGTCCCCAGAGCCTTGTGGCTAGCATGGCAAAAAACTTATCAAGGGCCTTTAAATATTCCATTCAACAGATTTGTGTTTTGAAGTATTGGTGCTAATCTTTTCTTAAGATTCAGATCACAGATGGTGCTGGTTCAGCAAAGTATGTTAAACTGGATGTGAGTTGGACTTCTGGACCGGAAATCTTGGCACTAAAACAAACAAGAGACTTAAAAGAGACACATTATGCAGTGCCCAGTCATTTATCCTTATGTTTTCCCTAAGTGATTTAAAGCTACTTAATATGCAGCCCATCAACACGTTTGTATTGCTTTATTACTATCATCAGTAATATTACTGGGTGCATTCCAAATGGCAGAGTTCTCATCAACAACATTATTTGTTTTTGATATATTAGACACAGCACAGCTATTACTACGGCACACACTTCTGCAGCCTGCTCTCCTATGTGATTTCTTAGAAAACATCAGAAGTTTGAATCAGTGACATATTTCTTTTTTAGGATACTGGGGTACTTAGGATACTAATCAGCCCTTGAAATGTCGTTCTTTCCTTTTTACTATGGTATGCAGTGATTGGTGGTCATACAAAACCACTGTGTGACATCATTTTGTCCAGTATAGAGAAGTTGTGGGTGTTGGAAACATTGAACGAAACCAAAAAACAGTCAAGTATTTTGGTTAATGTTTGATTTTTCATCGTCCATCCTTAAATCTCTTCGTAACCAATTGGTGTAGTGATTTACTTCATTCCTCTGCGGAGCATTTGATTGGCTGCGATGAGCATAACGCTGATGATGAACGCAATGGCGAAGGCACAAATCAGGCTTTTACGCACACACGTGTGTTTCTCCTGTTGTGTTGGGCTTGCTGTGGAAAGATTGAGAAGACACATTAGTCTCAGCAGAGCTTTAGAAATGTCTGAACAATGTGCAAAATAAAAAAAATCCGTGCGAGACGCACTGTCAATGTCCACGTGGGACTCTGGACTGTTTAGGTGGCTCTCCTCGGTCATGATGATGTTCTCAATGTCTTTCATGGTGAGGTGGTCACGGAAAGTATCGTAAAGCAGTCTCTTAAGCTCGTCCACAGTCAGTTTCTGCATGTCGCACTGGGGAGACATGAAACATCAAGAAAGGTCTAATTAGCAGAGGAAAAACTTGTCTCTCAAAGCCCCTCAGTGACGCAAGGAAGCTGTAGGACAACAATTAATAGCGGTAGAGCAGGGTAGCTCCTAGTGAAATAATTTATTTGATTATGCAACTTAATGCAAGGAATGACACTGCATATGATGTACATGTAACAATGTCATATTTTAAGGCCATATTTTGAGAAAAGTCACAGCTAGGCACATTGGAATATGATGCCTAATGTGAGAATAATGTCAGAATTAGCTGACTGAATGACAAAGTTTTACATCAGTAACTCCTGTGCTGTAGTTTTAATTGAAACAGATGGTTCTGTAGCACGTTGGAAAAGCCAGAAGGGAAACTTTTCAAAAGAGGAAAGACAATTGATTAATGGACACTGATAAATGTAAAGATATAGACTTGATTGATGACAACTAATGACAACAAATACCTTCCAAAACACTGAATCAAAGTCAGCTCCGTGGAACTTATCAGGCATCCCAGCAGCCGAGAGTTTAGGACCAAGCAATGTGACGAATTCATCAAAGCCAACTTGACCGTCACCTGATAAAACAGACGGAAATACTCATATGTTGGATTGTATGCAACAGTGTTCTAAACTTTCTGATCCAGAGACATAAAGAGAGGGACATACCATCTATGTCAAGTCTTTGGATGATAACCTCCAGCTCCACCTCGTTGGGCATGTAGCCCAGAGAGCGCATGGCCATCCCCAGCTCCTGCTTTGAGATGAAACCGTTCCCATCTCGGTCGAATACTTTGAAAGCCTCACGAATTTCTGTCGGGGACACGGAGCACAGTAATTATGTTAAGAGTGGAGAGAAAGGAGGCATAGCAGGTGTATATAGAGTTATCACTTACAGTCTCACAGTGTGAGCAACAGCTGGTGGGCTCAGTTGAGTGTGTTGAGTTGAAACGTGTGTGTACACAAAGTTTTTATTAAGAGTTAAGCAGTTTATAATGGTGTGCTTGTGTTGAATTAAGGATGTCAGGGAGTTATACTGAAAGTCCGAGCTCTGAAAGTATAATCCCTTTAGATGTTGATGTTTTGAGAAAAGGGAGGCACACCTGAATGTTTAGTGTTTGAAGAATGGAAAATTGCAACAGTCAGAGCAGTTTAAAAGTTTATTTTCTTGTTACTAGTACTGCAGAGGCATTAAAGGAACAGATGGGTGATATTTAGTCTTTTTCTCATGATCATTATTTCCACAAAAATCCCAAGGCAAGAATGATTTGATCTCACTAACAATTGTTACCTGTGTAGCCAGATCCTGAGAAGCAGTGGCCGTCTCCAATATCACTCACCATTCGCTGTATAGTCCACTATATAGTGACTCTGCCATTTTGTAGTGCTGTTTGAATGTATAGCGGGAATTATTATACCCTATAAAGTGGACTCAAAGTATCCCACATACAATACATCATGGAAATTAGTGTACAACCAATGGCCACTAACCAAGCCATATATCTCATCATACATTGGCCTAAAGGAGCAGGCAGGCTGTAAGGGATGGAAGCAGAGATGGATGAGAGGAGAGAGCAGCTTGATTACAACCTGTTGTACATGTCTAATTTTTGATGATGTCTTTAGGTTTGTTTAACCAGTTTCTTAGCCATGCAATAATTTATCAATTTAATGTGTAATCATTGAAGAGATTAACATAAATTGGCAGTTAACTGTCTTTAGTGTTGTAGAGAAGAGGGCTAATAACACTAGCTAATATTAGTGAGCTGGGTCGTCACTAGCTGTGGTTTGTGCTGCAATGACATAATGCATAATGTTTTAAACTAAATTCACAAGTTATTACATGATTTTATGGTAAAACAAACTTCAACATATCAAATGAAAATTACTTAAGTTTGTAAGACAGGTTACAAACATGCTGCTCTCTTTCCTCTTGTCTGTCTGACACAGTGTTTAATATAATATATAATGTAATGTTATTTATTAATTTGGGAAAAACGCGCAGTATAATATCATGACAAATATGTCAGTTTTTGATATGGATGGACCACCAGCTGCCATTGATATGGCAACAGCAATAATGATGTAATGAATGGCACAGAGTAAATGACCCAAGTTGTGTCTCAAAGTGTTTTTTCATGTTCCAGATGAACTCACCATGTAGTCCTCAACACAAAACTTCCTATATAGTAAGTAGGCAATAGTGAGTGAGTGAATGATTTAGGACACAACCAGAGAGACTGTAGTTGAATGTCTCAGTACCATGGAGAGAGGCAGAGAGACTAGTTTAAGGGGCCGTACACAAGCCATGTTTTTTGAGCCCTCAAAATAAATTTTCAGTGTAGACACATGGCAGAGGTGTTCAAACACCAGAGCAACGCTGTCGAGATAACCGAGTTCAACTTTTAGAATGCAGCAGCATGCACTGCATGTCATGTGACGACGACAAACCAATCACAGCTGACAGATATCTTTCCCTTCTTCTGTAAATATCAGTCTGTGGTACATATGGAAAATTTAGTCATTTTGGCTTAGGGCTAGCAGAGCTTTACATCTGTCCCACAGGCAATATGCCCACGGACGATAGGCCTACACACTTATAAACAGCACCTGGAAGAAGATCAGCTCTTCACTTAGGATTTTAGGTAAATAGGCTATACGATGCTTGTCAAGGTTTCTTAGCAACCTCAGATGCCACCTACTGCTGCACTCTTAAAAGCTGCCTGAAAAAAGGCACAAAAGTAGTGCCCAGCGCCCGACCTCACGTTTTCCAGGCGGTTAAAGATGCATCATGTGTACAGCCCCTAATGTTTCAGCACCATGGAGAGAGACAGAGAGACTGTAGTTGAATGTTTCAGCACCATGGAGAGAGGCAGAAGCCCCTTTTACACAAAGATCCACCATTACCCTGGCATTCCTTTTTTACACTGAACCAAACAGTGTCGGCATAATGGCACTGTAGAGTGTGATGTTAGATAGGGTGTTTCAGAAGCAAAAGAGGCATGGCGTTTAAGACAACAGCATCAATGTCTAGTGTGTGTGTGTGTGTGTGTGTGTGTGTGCATGTAGACCCACCATGCCAGCTGTCCCTTTCACACAGACATTGATTTTGCTTTGTTACTACTTTTGCTGATCGTTTAAGAGCAGAATAATCTATCCCATCAATCCCTGCTCCTACCTTTTAAACAGAACAACAAGGCAGAATAATGGCACAATATTCTCACCTTGAACACGCTGTGTAAAAAGTGCTTAAGAAACTGTGGTTAAATGCTTCAGCACAATAGAAAGAGACAGAGAGACCATAGATGAATGTTAATTCCTCGTTTGCTATCGATGTCTATGCCTACCCTCACAGCCAACACCTGTTACCACAGCCATAGCACAATTGGTTCTGACAGAAGGCAGCGAGCAGGTTCGCATGTTTATAATTAACTACAACTTTTGGTAAATAATCCATAAACATTGCCATTTGGCTCCTGTCCTCGCCCCGCATCGGAGTATTCTGTTTGAAGTGGTAAAAAGAGCAGTTGCACATCAAAGGCGCAGAACCTCTGTGGCTCTTTTTGATGTAGATCCTCAAATATACAAGACTCTTCAATGCTCGCTCAGTAGTCACGTGTCAGATGAAACAAGACAAGCAGTTAAGAAGACAGAACATGGAGAAATTATACCAACTCATAAACGACAGAGCGTAAACATGAACAATTTTAACTGAATGCAGTAAAAGCAGGAAAGGAAAAGTGTTGAGAACAATCAGTAAATGAAGATGGGAGTGAACATAATTGACAACTATTCCCTCCTTGTGGCCTATATAGGCTCAGTAATTCTATGCCGTCAGATATAAAAATAAGCTGAAACATTGACTCATCTCTGAATTAAGCTATGAGTTATACTTGAATACTGCTGCTGAACCACACTTCATTTAAACTACATATGGATCACATGCATATTGAGCCCTTCTGTCACACACAAAACTAATCTGAATGCAAGTATGTGATTGCTAAAGCATCACTTGTAATTTAAATTCAAACCCACACATGGACAAGCATTAACCATCCATCTTGTGTACTCTAATGACAGCGAGACCACAGTTTACAAGTGATAGCCCACAGTGGCAGACTGCAGCCTTGTTGGAAAATAGACAAATCAGTTGTAAGAGGCCGGCGTTTGGCGCATTCATTGAGGTCCTCCTGAACAAGTGGCAGTGTCTGTACCGAGCCTTGACATATCAGACACAACATATTTGTCTAAATTACAGCCAGCAGTGCTGCTTGAGTTTTGTTATCTTCTTTCAGCATCACCCTAGATTCAATGTCACGACCCCTGGCGCCAGTGACAAATAATAAATTCACTGAGCCAGCTGAGGAGTGGCTGGACTACTGATTGTTCCACACCATGAGGAGTGAATATCAAAAAAAAAAAGTACAGATGGAACCACTTGGTACAAAAAAGCAGCCATATGAAGAATTTTGTTGCATTAATAATCCCTTATTGATTCCAACATATAATTTATACCAGTAAACTTCTTAATTTATATGTAATTTTTATCAATATATTTTTAATATGTGTGTTTGTAGTTGTACATACTAGTAAAATGTTTATAGTCAAATGCAGTGGTGTAAGGTAGTTACAATGGGCCCCATTGCATGCTGTTGTAACTGGCCCTCATGCACGCTAGTTATTAGTTATAAGGCACACACACACCACTGGCATCTCTTTATTATATTGTTAGTGTTATATTATACAACTAATTTAGGGAACTTTGCTACTTTTTTCTTTCTTGTCCTCTCTTATCACCACTTTTATGTCAAAAAGGCATGACTGCTTGCTAGACTTGCAGATGTGCGCAGATTTTTGGGGCCAAACTAGCTACTGGATTGTATCGTCTTGTCACATCATCAAATATCAAATATAATCTTGTCATTAGACGACTAAACCTACATGCTACCAACAATCATCACAGCATACCTGTATATGACAAAAAATATTTAAGAAAATAAGAAAGTATTTTTTTAATTGAAAATTTTTATTTGCATGGTTTATTCAGAGTTTTTATAATTTATGTAGAATAAGCGTTTAATTTTGGTTGACTATTTTACCCCCAAAATAAAATAAAATAAAATAAAATAGAATGAAATGAAATAAAATAAAAATAAAAATAAAAATAAAAATAAAATAAAGATTAGAATTAGAATTAGAATTAAAATTAAAATTAAAATTAAACAAAATAAAATAAAGTCAAAAGAGAGATGGGTTTGTATGTTTGAGGGCATATAGCCTGTAGTAAATGATAGTGTTTTTAATTTAATTTTAAGTTGTTTTTTTTTCTTATAAACACAGGTGTAGTTCTAAGGTGGCAATCTGAATCCTTCCCAATTTTATTTATTCTGTCATCTAGTTTTATAGAGTAAAATCATAATAATTTACCCTTTTGACAAAGATCATGTGTCAAACCTTTGCCTTTCTTTATTTTATTTTGTTTTGAGACCCTGTTCTGACCCTCCATATACAAAAATGTTGCTCTATTTTCTCTCTTCATTATCCACTTTTCCCCATCACAGTTGTTGAGCTCATTTAGATAAAAAATTGGATTTCATTCTGTAATTGGACATAAAAGAACTCTATAAATATTAAAGTTAATATTCATAGAGATTAGACACTTATTTGCAAAGAATTTATAGAGGCAATGTAGAAATCCTAATTTCCTGTGGACCCACATCTAGTTCATTTAAAATGCAAAAGGAATTCACAGTGTAAACAAGAAATATAATCTGAACACCATATGGTTCAATACAGCACAAGCACAGCCTTTG